TGTGGGGCAGACAGTGCAAGTGATCGGGTGTGAGGTGTTGTGCGGTTCTGTTCCGTCGGGGCGCAGCAGTGCTCCTGGCGGAAATTTTTTAGCGCGGAGGCAGTTGACAAGGGTCTGGCGCGAGGGGTGGCCCAGTCGCTGGTGCCAGAGGTCATCTTCGGCGCGGATGCCGGAGGTGCGTTTGTAGCGAGCGTAGTGTTCTGCTACTTCTGCTTCTGTAAGTTGCGGGATCTGGAGTGGGAGTTCTTCCTCTTCTCCTGGTTCCGCTGCGTTGTCCGGCTCCTCTGCTTCTGCTTCTGCCGTTGTCTCCTCTTCTGCAGGTGCCGTTGTGAGGTAGAGGGCGAGAAATTCATGGTCGGGAATGATGGTGAGCGGGGTCGTGGTGCCTTCAATGAAGCGAGCGAACGGATCTGGGCGGGAGATTGGACCAAGTGAGTCCCGCGGAGGAGTTGGTGGTATATTCCCCTCCTCAATCTCCAACCAAGGATCACTCCAGCGATGAGGTGTGTGAGGGGGTTCACGAGTGCGTGGGGGTCGTCCGAGGGGAATGACAATGCGGGGTGATTCTTCTCCGCGCTCAGCTTTCATCTCTCGTTCCGCTTCCTCCAGTTCTTCTTGCGTGAGCTCCCCTTCGTCGGGTTCGGCTGTTCCCCATCCTCCCGTGGTGACCGTGCCGCTGGCGCTGGCTCCCCATGCTCCAGTGGCGGATGCCCAGGTAGCGCCTTCTTCCGGCTTATAATCTTCATCTCCCCATGCGCCTCGGCGTGCTGACTCTTCGTCCCATCCTGCCGCGACCCGCTCCTCATACAGCTTTTGTTTCTTTTCTGCCCGGGCCTTGTCTTGTTCTTCCTTGACGCTCAGCTCCCCTTTTGCGTCAGGGTCCTTCCAATCTGGGTCAATCTCGCGGGGTAGACTTCGCGAGTGTACGGGCGCGGTCGTCCTTCTTCGTCGAGGGTGGTGGTGTTAGCTTCTAGGACGAACCGGAGGTTTTCGGAGTATGGTGCTGTTCGCTCCGCTTGCTGATGTTCGGAGTCATCTTTTGGTTCGCCGAAGATGCGGTAAGATGACACAGCGATTTCTTGTACAAACATGCCTGTTGGTTCTGCCTCGGCACTCTCAGCTTCCTGGATTGCCGCGTACTCCTTTTCGACTTGCTCTGTGCGGCTCGCCGTGGGTGTGTGACAGGTGGTGCAGAGACCATTGATGTCTGGCTCTCGCAGGTTGATCTCGCGGGGATGAGGGCTGCGGCGAACCCATGGTCGTCCGTCTGGGTGCTCCCATGCTTCCTTGCTCATGTAGGCAAACTCGAGAGGGACGAGGTCCACGAGCTTGTCGGATGATGCTTGGCAGGAAGGTACGTCGAAGTCTAGGACATAGATCCCATTGATTGAGCGGGCTCGTCCAAGGAATTTGAACGATTCGGGAGGCGTGTCAGGAGGAGCGTAGGTGAGGATGAGGTCGCGTGTGGCTAGATCCGTGGTGAGTATGACGCCGCAGTCGCGGAGTTGTCCTGCTGAGAGGAGGTTAAAACGAAGGTTTGGGACGTAGAGTACGTCGTTGAACGAAATGTGTGTGTTGCTGTCTCGTGCTTGCAGGACCACGATGCCTTGCGCATTGGCGCGCAGCTGCTCGTTGTTGGCGACGGTGACGTAAGTTGCGGGAGCGCGACTCAGGTTTGAGACGTATCGCGTGGATCCCACCATGTGTTGTCCGCAGCAGCTGTCCAGGTACCTGGTGTTGTAGTTGTCAGTGTTGTTTCTGCACAGGAGTAGCGCCAGTCGCGGAGTCACCAAGGTTGCCTAGTAGCGCTTGTGGAGGAAGGGGTCTTCGTCTTCCTTCCATCCCACCGGTACGTATTGTTGGTTGTCGTGTGGCGGGCTTTCCCGCAATGTGATTGGCTGATTCCAATCCTGCTCGTCCTCGTCATACAGGTAGTAGTGATTTTCAGTGAGGGGATTATTCCAACCCTCTTCTGGCTCAAGGAGTCTTCCTTAGATCTCGTTCTCTTCGTCAGGTTCAGCAGTGCGACGTCGGCGCGTCGCCATATTTGCGATGATATTTCTAGGAGCTCCTGATTGAGGTCCTTGAGTTTGCTAATGTTGGTGTTGTGCAGGAGGACGAGGTGTCTGATGCTGAGACTGAGGATGACGAGTATCTTGTCGGCCGACCCAGTTGTTGTGGTGAGTGGAATTTGGGTGGCGATAGTTGGATCGGGATTTGCATCGATCCGTTGAGTGTCCGAAGACTTTGCATATTTTGCAATAATGGTGCCTTGGTTGTCGTCGCTCTTCACGGTTGTCTGCGTAGAAGGCGAGGCGCTCTCGGCGCGGCGCGGAGCTTGTTCTGCTCGAGTCCATATCCTGCTGTTCAGTCACGAGTGCGGCGCATAGCGCGGCTTCTGAGTTAATCCCTCGCTGTCGGAGTAGCGCTTTACAGGGCTTCCACTCTGGCCCAAGTCCTTGAAGGACTATGTTAACAAAGATCTCTTCCGAGATTGCGCTCCCATGCTTCGTGATCTGGTCACGGATGTTGCGACAGCGGTTAATGTAAGAATTCGCTTTCTCCCCGTGCCCCATCTTTGTCTCCATGAGTTGCTGCAGGAGCCTGCTGGCGGTAACCGAATCCTTCGGTTGATAGACCTCAACAAGGTGCTTCCAGGCTTCCAAGGCTGGAGCGGCGCTCTCTTTGTAGGAGCGGATGCTTAGTTGCTCGGCAGGCATCATGTTGCGTAGCAGCACACTATACGCCATGAGGGACTCGCTGTAGTATTGAGTCCTGACGTCGTCGGTATCATCCACCGGTCTTGGATAGGTTCCGTCGAAGTAGTGGTAGATCTGCGCTGTCTGTAGGAGGAGCTCAAGCTCAAAACTCCATGTGTAGAAATCCATGTTGTCGAATGCGGCGGTAGTCTTGATTTTTGAAACGCTGAGAAAGCGTGCTTGCGCAGAGTTAATGACTTCATCACTTGGACGGGGGGCAGTTGTTATTGATTTGTCTGTGTCGAGAGAGAAGGTGTGCGCGGCGGTATCACGGCTTTTTGTAGCCGGTTGTCCAGGTTGAGCTGGTTGGGAAGAGGTTCCCGCATCGCCTTTGCGCAAGTTTTGGAGTTCTTTCTCCATAGTTGAAAGCCGAGCGAATAACTGCTCGAGTGCGACAGTGCCGATCGTGGTTGTCGCCTCATTTGTTGCAGCCGGGTTGGTTTGCCCTTCGGCCGTTAGATTTGCTTGGCCTCCGGATTCTCCGGCCATCTTGGTCTTGGAGCGTGTGCCGCTCGCCAGATCTTGGTTCGGCGAATTTCACGGAAGTGAAAGAACGAAGAATCCCTGAGTAGCTCTCATACCATGTAACAATCCCAAGTGGGACTTAGCGAAGGATCGCTCAGGGTTGATCGCAGAGTAGTGTTGCAGCGGAAGTTTGAATCTCAGGTCAGAGTGAATGTAAATGACTGAGTTGATAAAAGCATGCATACATCGGGTTTATATAAGAATACAGGGGAATACGAAAAGACCTAGACTAGCCATGTACTCTAAGGGGTACATTTCCTTATTGCAGTCAAATTCAAACCGTGCGGCGCGGGAACCCGTTTCAAACCTGTTCCCGCTCTTTTCACTTCAGATGTTTCTACCTGCATCGGTCTTGGTCAGACGGTTGCTGCGTCGCTTCGACTCTTCTGACTCCTCGACTTCGTGCTGGGTAGAATCGGCTCCTGCAACATACAAGAATGCCTTCTCATGTAACTTCATATCGTAACAAACTCATTGCAAGACAAGTCCAGCCATCACCCCTTGAAGAAATTCACTGCAAGTTCAACCATCACCCCCTTGTCTTCACCATCAAGCAATCCATGGACTTCACCATCCAGCCAACCACCATCTTTCACCATCTTTCTCCCCTTGATTCCCTCCATGGCCACCCCACCATGGACTTCACCATCCAGCCATCATCCCTTTCACTTCTCGATCCAGCCAACCACCATCATTCACTTCTCCGTTTTACCTCCCCATCTCTTTTTTTTAGGCTTCGCCACCAAGAGTCAGGGATAAAAGTCCGTCCCATCAGCATCCCCAGGCGCGGAGCTTACGGGCTGAGGCCCGGAGGCGTACGAGTACTGCCGTAAACTCGGCAGGGTGGGGTACGGCAGGGTGGGGTATGGCAGGGTGAGCAGGGTGGGGAATGGCAGGGTGGGGGATGGGAGTGTGGGCAGTGGAAGGGCAGGAAACCAAGGGCGCCTCTGCAGCTCGTGGGAGGCTTCCAGGTCCAATCATGCAATCCGCCATCGCCCAGGATGACAAATAACCTCCCAACTGTGCCTCCGTGCATCTGTGCTTCTTTAAGTGTATCCCTGGCTATGCTCTCCCCTGTGCTTCGCTCTCCCCGTGCTGTCCGCCCTGAGATGGTTCACCTCCACCCAGCCACTGACTCCTCGCCCTGTGCACCACAGAACAGGTTGCAGTGGACAGTTGTGCAAGTCTCTGCAGTTGACCCCTTGCTGGAAGCCCACCGGTCTCTGCAGGCACTAATGCCACTTGCACCGACTCGTGCACGGACAGATGCACTAATGGATGCGCCGATGGAAGTTTTTCTCGGCTCGCTGCAGCAAACTCGGTAGAGATAGACTTTAGTAACAACTTGAGCGTCATAACAACATTGCGCTGGCAAACCACGCTACAGCAATCTCTTGTATTGAAGCCCTTGGGCTCGACAACTGGTTGGGAAAGTTTGCGTAAACGTGCGCATGTTTTTTTGGGAAAGATGTCTTTTTCTAACTACCATACCAACACGGTAAATCATTCAGCACCTCGTACCGTATCCATTTTTGGCGCCTCACAACCCTTGCTCTAACACAATACCCCCCAGTGGCCGAAACACCTCCCAAACACCCCTTCCGCCTCCACTTTCCCCCCTCCCTTCCCCCACCCCTCCCGACCACCCTCCACTCCTCCTTGCCCCTCCTCACCCTCGTCACCCTCCTCTCCTAGCCCTCCTTGTCCTCCATGCCATCACCGCGAGGGCTTCTGAGCGGAGAGCATGATGTACTGCGAGCGGATGTCGCTCGTGTAGTTCTCCAGCCCCGCCAGCCCCATGAGCTCCTCCAGCTCCTCTGGCTCCCAGTACCGGAACGGCAGCTGCTGGCTCACCGATAGTTGCTGAGAGGGTGGGCAAGGGGGGAAGAGGGTGGGTGAGGAGGGGTGGTTATAGCACATGGTAAGAGAAGCATGAGGTGACTTTTGAGTCGACTCAACAGTCCTCTCAAGCCCTGCCAGCCCCATGAGCTCCTCCAGCTCCTCTGGCTCCCAGTACTGGAACGGCAGCTGCTGGCTCACCGATAGTTGCTGCCAGCACGTGGAGGGGGGAGAGGAAAAGGGGGAAAGGGTGGGTATGGCACGTGGCAAGGGAAGGGAGACATGTAGGGGATGTTGAGTGGGTGTGTAGTTGTCCCAGACGCAGTTGCCCCATGCGGTTGTATTTGTTTCCCTTTTGTCTCTAAGGAGAAGCTTTAGGGTGACCCCAGGAGGATTGCCAGATGAGCAGCAGGTGCTGCAGGCTGAACAATTACAGTCAACGGTGGGGGATGGTGAGTACGCTTAGGAATGGTGAAGGCAGAGTGCGGGGGGGATGACTGAAGGAGGAGTGTAATGACTGGTTGTAAGGACCTACAGAAGACGAAGGGGATGGGAAGAGGACTGGGTGCTGTAGAGTCAGGAAAGGCCGGCGCTGCTGCGAGTACATGGCATGCGTGTGTGTGTGTGCATGTGGGAACATGTTGTGCGTGTACGGGAGCGTGCAGACATGCATGCATGCATGGCACCACCACCCCAGCGGAGGCAGCTCAGCAGCAGCAGCAGCAGCAGCAGCAGCAGCAGCAACCCGCACCTTGCGCAGGGGCTTGAAGAGCTCGTCGGCGATGGGCGCCTTGGGCAGCAGAAACGTGGTGGCCACGAACCTGCCCCCCGGCCTCAACACACGGCTGATCTCCGCCATCTATGCACACACACACAAGGAGCAGGACAGGGACACCAGCAGGGGAGGCACGGCGTCACGGAGGGCTCAACGTTGTGTAGCGGAAGGGAAAAGGTGCCGAGGGAAAAGGGCTGTGTCGAGGCCGGGTGAGGCATTCGAGAAGGGACGTGGGGGTTGCTGAAGAGAAGGGAAGGGACGAACAAGTGGGGGGATCAACAAGAGAAAGGGTTCACTGCAAGCAAGAGGTTAGCATGAGAGAGGACTCACCGCGAGAGAGGGCGAGGGCCAGCAGTGCAGGGCGGCGCCGGCATGAATGGCGTCCACTGACGCAGATGGGAAGGGCAGGCGCGATACATCTACTCTCAGTAGCGATATGGCGCTGGTGATGGGGGGAGGGTTGTTGGGCGAGGCAGAGAGAGAGAGAGAGAGAAGCCGGGAGATGGAGGAGAGGGGGAATGATGAGAGTGGGCGGGAGTAGTGTGGGTTATGGTACAGTGTGCGGTGCAGCGTATGAGCGGGCGGTGCAGCGTATGAGTGGGCGGTGCAGCATATGAGCGTGAGGTGCTGCGTATGAGCGGGCGGTGCAGAGTATTAGCGTGAGGTGCAGCGTATGAGCGGGCGGTGCAGCGTATTAGCGTGAGGTGCAGCGTATGAGCGGACGGTGCAGCGTATTAGCGTGAGATGCAGCGTATGAGCGGGCGGTGCAGCGAATTAGTGTGAGGCGCAGCGTATGAGCGGGCGGTGCAGCGTATTAGAGTGAGGTGCAGCGTATGAGCGGGCGGTGCAGCGTATTAGAGTGAGGTGCAGCGTATGAGCGGGCGGTGCAGCGTATTAGCGTGAGGTGCAGCGTATGAGCGGGCGGTGCAGCGTATTAGCGTGAGGTGCAGCGTATGAGCGGGCGGTGCAGCGTATTAGCGTGAGGTGCAGCGTATGAGCGGGCGGTGCAGCGTATTAGCGTGAGGTGCAGCGTATGAGCGGGCGGTGCAGCGTATTAGCGTGAGGTGCAGCGTATGAGCGTGAACGGGTGGAGGCCTTGCTGTGACTGCAGCTGTTCCAGTGCAGCGTTGCTTGCATCAGTGTGTCTCAGCACAACACCGGCAGCAGCATCCTGACATGCCATGCCACGCCTCAATCACGTCTCACTCCACCACCTCGAATGCCACCTCTGCTCTCCTCGCCCTTTCCCCCTCCCACTTCTCCAACACCCTCCCCCTCGCCCGCCCCCTCGCCCAGAGCGCTCACCTCTGCTGCTCCCGCAGCAGCGGGTCATCTCGAATGTACTGAGCAGTCTGCTCCAGCATGGCGGGCGACAGGTCAGCAGCTGCCACGTGGCGCCAGTCCTGGCTGGCAGCAAAGCGGCGGGTGAAGAGGCCCGAGCCACACGAGAGGTCCACGAGGAGCCCGCCCTTCTGCTCGTGGAACAGCCGCTGCGCCATCAGGAACTGGCAGGGGGAGTGGGGGGGGTTTGCAAGGAGGAAGGTGTTAAGAAACTCGGTGACCTTTGAGTCGACACGAGAGGTCCACGAGCAGCCCGCCCTTCTGCTCGTGGAACAGCCGCTGCGCCATCAGGAACTGGCAGGGGGAGTGGGGGGGGGTTGCAAAGAGGAAGGTGTTAAGAAACTCGGTGACCTTTGAGTCGACACGAGAGGTCCACGAGCAGCCCGCCCTTCTGCTCGTGGAACAGCCGCTGCGCCATCAGGAACTGGCAGGGGGAGTGGGGGGGGTTTGCAAGGAGGAAGGTTTTAAGAAACTCGGTGACCTTTGAGTCGACACGAGAGGTCCACGAGCAGCCCGCCCTTCTGCTCGTGGAACAGCCGCTGCGCCATCAGGAGTTTGCCGGGGGGAGTGGGGATGGGGGAGGGGGGGTTTGCAATGTGGGAAAGTCGAGGGGCAAAGGGCGAGCAGTGTGGGGTGAGGGGCGAGGGGCAGCCCGCCCTTCTGCTTGTGAGACAGCCGCTGTGCCATCAGGAACTGCGCGGTGGTGTGGAGGGGGAAGAGAGAGGGGAGAAGTTGCGATGTGGGAAATGCCGAGGGGTGAGGGGTGAGGGGAGAGGGGGGAGGGGGAAGGGGGGAGGGGGGAGGGGGCTACGTTGGCAGATACGCTCTTGAAAGGCTGGCGTATCACGAATATTCGCTAGCGTATATGCGTGATACGCTGATACGCTCTGAATTCGCGAAAATACGGCCGGGCAGCCCGGCGAAAAAAAAATTCCGAAATTGAGAAACTTCGCGACGATGTGCGAAGTCGCGAAGTGTTACCGCGACTTCGCTCATGTGCCCAACCCCACTTCTGAACTTCGAATTTCAAAATCCAAACTTTCCCACCCCCTCAACCACACATCACCCCACCCAACCTCTCAATCCCAACCACCCCCTTCAAATGTTCTTCCATCGTTTGCACGTATAGGTCGACGTTGCGCAAATGCTCTTCCATTTCCTTCCCGCATTTCTCCACTCTTCTTCATTAGTTAGACTTACGTAGTGCGCCATGGCGTCGGGCTCAGCTCCTAGTACTTCGACGAACAACAATCCAGCCTCTGTCCATGGCTCTACTACCGTCAACACGGATCCTGTTGAGGCTGGACTATCTCACCCCATTCTGAAACATTTCCTCATTCCGTTTCACACCAAAGGCAACCCCAAGCTCTGCAACTTCTGTGGCAAGAAGTTCGAGGGCGGAACAAACCGCTGTGCAATCCATCTCGTGACATGGAAAGGGCAGGAGAAGCGCGCTGTGGCGTTATGCAAGGACGCGCCCACGGCAGTCCGCGATGAAGTCCGTGGCATGTACGAGACCAAGGCGGAACAGCAGGACTTGAAGCGAGGGGCGGCCGCTGCTGCAATTCACTCCGCGCTTGATGCTGTCAGTGGAAACCCGGAGAAAAAGAGCAAAATTACGGATTTCTTTGGCAATGAGGCGACTTGCGCCAAGGAGGACGCGGATAACGCGCTTTGCCTTCTGTTCGCGGCGCTGAAACTTCCGGAGCGCATTGCGGACGATCCGGTCTTCCGCTACGCAGTCCAGTGCATTGCGCGCGCTGGACCTGGGTACGTCCCTCCTAAGAGGCGCTACATTGGAGGGGCAGGCTTGAAGAAGGTGCGGCAGAAAATGGAGGTCACGCTCGCCCCCGTTGCCGCGAGCTGGAAGCGGGACGGGGTAACGGTGTCGTCGGACATGATGACCGACCGTTGTGGCCGCCCGCAGGCCAACGTGCTCCTTGTCAACGACTCCGGCGCAGTTTTCGAGCAGGCGGTGGACTGCAACATGGAGTCGAAGACCGGGGGGTACATCGCCAGCCTTCTCCGCCCCGTCATTGATAAGGTGGGGCCGGAGAATGTGGTGGCGGTCTGCACCGATGGCGGCAGCAACTATGCATCGGCCGCCAAGAAGATTGCGAGCACATGGCCGCACATTGAGCATGTGCCATGTGCCACGCATGTCCTGGACCTGATGATGGAAGATATGGGCAAAATGGGATGGGCGAAGGGGCTTGTGGAGAAAGGAGGGGAGATGATTACCTTCGTGCGCAACCACCACTTTACCCGTGCCTATATGAAAAAAGTGGGGGGGAAGCAGGTGCTCAAGCCTGCGGGAACCAGGTTCGGGACACAATACATAGCCATGGCCCGGCTATGTGAGGTGAGGAGTGGGCTGGCGGCGATGGTGCTCAGTGACGAGTGGAAGGTGTGGGCAGCGGCGGACAAGGATAGGAAGACAGCAGCTGAGAAATTCAGGGCTGCTGTGATGGATGAGGAGTGGTGGGGGGTGACGGAGTTCTTTACCTCTCTCATGGCGGTGCCATTCAAGGCCATGCGGGCCACGGACTCTTCCGCGAAAGGCATGATGGATAAGATGTATGACATCATGCTACAGCTTACCGAGGACATCAATGACAAGCTCGACGCTTCAAGTGACTTCTTGACTCGGACAGAGAGGGCAGACATCACCAAGATTGTGAAGGACAGGTGGGACAACTCCCTTGCCTGCCCCATGCATGTGGTTGGCCAGATCCTGAATCCGGCCAACCAGGAAGAGGGAATTTTCAGGAACGATGTGGAGTGCACGCGGGTGTTCAAGGACTACATCGAGCGCCACTATGACAACAAGACCTTCAAGCGTGGCAAGGATGGCGCCCCTCGCCGCGCCTCCCTTGTGCTGCAGGAGGCATTGCTGGCCTACATCAACATGGAGGGCAGCTTTGGCAAGCCGGGCGCCATTTCTGCAAGGGAGGCAGTGAAGAGATGAGCATGGTGCAGTGGTGGTCGTGGCACAGCACCGAGTATCCTGAGCTTGCCGCCCTCGCATGCCGGGTGCTCACTCAGCCCGTCTCGGCTTCCCCATGCGAGCGTGGCTGGGCGCAGTGGGAAGGCGTCCACACCGCCCGTCGCAACCGGCTCGGGTCCGTCTACATTGCGCGCAATTTCAACGTTGTGCGCAATTGGTACAAGAAGGATGGGGGCAGCACGGTTGTGCCCGGTAACATCCCGGATGCCCCTATCCCCCCCGGCTATAACATGGATGAGGAGGAGGATGACATGCTGGGGGAGGAAGGAGAGGATGCAGTGCTGGCGGATGAGTATGGGGAAGGTGTGGTGGTGGAAAAGCCCCGCAAAGAAATCGGTTGTGGGGAAGCTAGCTAGAGGGTGGGGTGGGGTGGGGATGTATGGGGAGAAGTAGCCCCAAATATGTATTTCTGGATATTTATGAAATTTAAATTATGACTTGTGTTCTTGGAAAACAATCCCCCCCCCTGAAACAGGTTTTTTTAGCCCTGCCCGGGAAAAAAGTTTTACCTGCCCGCCCAGCGTATTTTTGCGTATCACCAGTACGCCAGCCCTGGCGTACCGCGTATATACCCAGCGTATAATACGCTAGCGTATTATACCCTGGGACGCGTATCTGCCAACGTAGGGAGGGGGGAGGGGGGGTACCGGGAAACCGGGAAACCGGGAAACCGGGACACCGGAAAACCGGAATACCGGGAAACCGGGAAACCGGGAAACCGGGAAACCGGGATACCGGGAAACCGGGATACCCGGATACCGGGATACCAGGATACCGGGAAACCAGGAAACTGGGACACCGGAAAACCGGGAAACCGGGAAACCGGGATACCGGGAAACTGGGATACCAGGAAACCGGGATACCCGGAAACCGGGATACCCGGAAACCGGGATACCAGGATACCGGGAAACCGGGAACCTAGAAACCGGAAAACCGGGAAACCGGGAAACCGGAATACCGGGAAACCGGGCGACCGGGAAACCGGGATACCGGGAAACCGGGAAACCAGGATACCGGGAAACCGGGAAACCGGGAAAACCTCTCCCCGACAAAACCTCCTCCATTCCTCCAACTTCCCCTGCCCCCCCTCCCCACTCCCCCCCTTCCCCCTATCCATCCCATACCTCCAACAGCACACTCCCCTCGTTCCCCCACGGACCTCCTCATCAGGCCCCGGGAAGCCAAAGCCAGCGAAGCTCTGCCTCCACCCGCGCTCATACGCGAAGGACACCAGGGGGTTCCTGGAAGGAAGGGGGGGATGGTCATGGTGATGGTGACGATGATGATGGAGGATGGTGGGCAAGGGATGGAGGGAATGACAAGACAAGGTGAGTGTGAGGCAGTGGGCATGGAGCCGCGAGTAACCGTCCCCACAATCTATCACCCCACTGTTTCACCCTACTGTTTCACCCCACTGTTTCACCCTACTGTTTCACCCCACTGTTTCACCCCACTGTTTCACCCCACTGTTTCACCCTACTGTTTCACCCCACTGTTTCACCCCACTGTTTCACCCTACTGTTTCACCCCACTGTTTCACCCTACTGTTTCACCCCACTGTTTCACCCCACTGTTTCACCCTACTGTTTCACCCCACTGTTTCACCCCACTGTTTCAACCTACTGTTTCGCCCTACTGTTTCACCCCACTGTTTCACCCCACTGTTTCACCCCACTGTTTCACCCTACTGTTTCACCCCACTGTTTCACCCCACTGTTTCACCCTACTGTTTCACCCCACTGTTTCACCCCACTGTTTCACCCTACTGTTTCACCCCACTGTTTCACCCTACTGTTTCACCCCACTGTTTCACCCCACTGTTTCACCCTACTGTTTCACCCCACTGTTTCACCCTACTGTTTCACCCCACTGTTTCACCCTACTGTTTCACCCCACTGTTTCACCCCATTGTTTCACCCCACTGTTTCACCCCACTGTTTCACCCTACTGTTTCACCCCACTGTTTCACCCCACTGTTTCACCCTACTGTTTCACCCCACTGTTTCACCCTACCGTTTCACCCTACTGTTTCACCCCACTGTTTCATCCCACTGTTTCACCCCATTGTTTCACCCCACTGTTTCACCCCACTCTTTCACCCCACTGTTTCACCCCACTCTTTCACCCCACTGTACTGTTTCACCCCACTCTTTCACCCATCGCCTCCTCTCCCTGCAACCGCCCACTGGCGCTCACTTGAAGGTCTCGGAGCGAGAGGGCAGGGGCGGCTCGATGTACTGCGTGACCCCCGCAGTGAGCACTAGGTCCGCGAATCCCGCGCGCGCTGTGTATGTGCGCCGGCATGGCGCGCACTGCAGGCGCGCCGATGGCGCTGACTGCCTGTGGGTGGAGGGAGAAGAATGGATTGGAGCGGGCGAGGATTGAGGGGAGAAGGTGGGAGTGGGGTGAGGAGAAATGGTGAAAGGTGGGGCAGAGAGTGTGGGGTAAGCGGAGGCGAGAAGGAGTATGGTTGGTGGTGGGGGGAGCATGGGTGGAGAAGAGACCGCAGGAGAGGTGAGGATGGGAGGTGACGAGGGAGAGAGCAGGGAATAAGGGTTTGTAACATCAAAAGGCGAAGAAGGAATGCCGTGTGTGTGGCAGGGAGGCAGAGAGAAGCGAGCAGAGAGGAGAGAGCAGAGAGCAGCGAGCAGAGAGCAGAGAGCAGCGAGCAGAGAGCAGAGAGCAGAGAGCAGCGAGCAGCGAGCAGAGAGCAGAGAGCAGCGAGCAGAGAGCAGCGAGCAGCGAGCAGAGAGCAGCGAGCAGCGAGCATCACGCACATGGAGAAGGAGCGTTGCTTGCTCCTGAACGACACATCCAGAGGCCGCAGACACACAGGACACGCCAGCCGCGGCCCCTCCTGTTTCTCCGCGCCTTGCCCCTCCACCGCTTCTCCCCTCGCCTCTTCGCTGCCTGCCTGTGTCGCGGCTATCACTGTCGCGCCGGCTACCACATCCGCGCCTTCCTCCCTCACCGCACCTGTATCGCCGCTTAACGCGTCGCCCTGTAACGAATTCGCAGCGCAACGCACTGCACGGCTCGGCGCGCGGCGGGAAACTCTCGATATCTTCGACGAGCGTAAAAAAAATTGTAGCTGCGGCTGCCTGTTGTCGAGTACAGCTGAACTACTCAAATGATAACCCGCGGCGCGGTGACGGCGAGACACGGCTTGGCCGTGCTGCGTCAGCGTAACTAGCGAAGCGCGCTGCTCGAAGCGTGGATGCGGCCTCGTGTTGCCGACACGGTGTTGACATGGCAGGTCGAGAGCGGCAAGCACGGATGTGTAGGTTTGAGAATGCGGCGTGACTGACATGGCCAACGGCAGGCTCATCGTTGACGGATTGACAACCTAGCCGGTCTAAGAGGTGCTGGAGTTTGCCGGACAGCTCGAAGGATCGCCCGATCGCCAGATCAGAAGGCCCGTCTAGTGGAATAATGCTTGCTTCCTGGTGCTCGGTGTCTACTATGCGAGTGTGTTGGTGCGAGTTTGAATGGGGAGTGGGAGAGTGTGCAGGATGGCGTGGCAGCAGCACCAAGTGCCAGCTAGGGCATTCCCAAGGGTGCTAGTAGGACGCGCCACGTTTTCAAATTCCGGAGCGACTAAACGACGCTCCAGTTGGGGAACAAGCTCGATACAACAGACCTAGCATAAGGTTAAACTTTCCACATCTCACAGACGAGCCATTCTTTTCTCAAGACGCTGAAAGCATGCTATTTCTGCAAAAACCAATTATTTGCACAGTATTTCCTATTTCAATCTTACAATTCAAGCCATATGTTCTCATTTCAATAGCATATTTCTTGAATACAATGGGTTAATAAATTCATTAAGGGTAAATGACGTTTATCAGAGATATTTTGAGTAATGCATAAGAAAAACTCTGGCATTGCCGAGAAATATCAAGTGATAATTGTAACAATATCTCTACACGATGCCAGAAGCTCATATCGGTTGTATGCGGTCAGCGGTAGCTGCACTGTGTTTTGCCACGCAGCCAGCTGTATGAGCGAGCGCGCCGATGGGGCTAGATTTGCATGGCTGCAGAGTACCTGACACTCACCATTCGCACTGCCGCTCCCTCAGATCCGCGTCATTCCAGCGTAATTGCCGCCGTCGCTGTGACAGCATGGGGCTCACCGTCCCCATCCCCCACACACAACGCACCACAGAATCCGCATTCCCACCATCCATTCGCGAAGAACTACTGCGAGGTGGACGAAGCGTGAGGGCACATACATGTCGTGCAGTACTGGCGAAAGCGTAAGCTCACGTTATCAGGTTACGACGATCCCAGAGTAAGCAAGACCCGACGGCCCACTGTTGCCTCGCGCAAACCCTTGCCCAAAGTTCTTCCCCTCTAGTCCACTTCTGTCCTTCCACCAGATCTGTCCATAGTCTACCCTCCCCCACTCTTACCTTCCGTTCCGTGCATCCCTCCTACAACCAACACTGCTTATCTTACGGCCCTCTGTTACTCTACAAATTTATCGCAATCATGGCGTTCATAACGCAAGGCTTCGCGGGCTGTAGGCGTTAGGCGAGGGGATGCATTCAGCAGAGAATTGCTGTCTTACGGCCTGTTGCCGTAGACGGAATGTGCGCGCTGGCCGCGACGATGGCTGGCTTGGCTGCAATGGAGGCAGTCGCCACGCTGTGAGGAACAATCGCCGAGGCATCCGGTGGCGTGCACGCGACGAATGCTGGTACGAACACGGTCTCGGCTTATGGGCATGGCCGTCAGATCGCGGAAGTATTGGCTGCTTTTGCACCTCGTATTAGGGTTTCCATGCCCCTGTCACGATCATGACTCGCGCATGGTCATATGTGCGATGAAATTAATAAGTCGCTCTCGTGGTATGATCCACTTTTCAGGTAATGTATTTTTTTTCTTCTTCTGGGGTTTAATTCACACGTTTCCTCTCTCTTCACTACCCCATTCCACGCCTTAGGCTATCGGCCTGCGATGGTCATCGCCGGGTGCTCATTGCAAGATTCAGCAACAGACACGAGAAAATCAGTCGCGCAAAGCCAGAGGCCGACGCTTCTCACGGCTCATCAGGAGTTTCAGGTATCCTGTTATCTGTAGCATCGCTGACACCAGCAGCAACACGAGCGGGGACGCACAAAAGTTATCGCAAGAACGCTTCGTGTTCCCAAAGGGCGGATTTTAAGATCGTGACCAAATCCTTGTCACTGGCTCGTCTACACCGGCGTTCCCAATCTGCTCTCACAAAACGAATCTTCATTGACGCCGCTTGTCGACTCTAGCCAAGCTATCTGGCAGCCTATCGCCGTTGACCACCTCTTGTGCCGTCCACTTCCCAGAGCATCATCGAGTTTAATATCGTGTTCGTCTCGAGTATCTTGCCGCGTCAAACAAGCGGCGCACGCACGTGCTCGTGAGCGACACCGCACTGACGGTGGCGACAGGAGAGAGGGAAGAGACGGCAGGAGCTACGGCAGGGACGGGGGACCCAAGCGAGAGCGGTCGAGGCGGGATGCCGCGGTCAGTGGGCTTCGGGGGCTTCGGCGGGGGAGTGATTGTTCCCGCCATGGACGTGCGCCAACGCGCATCGCCCAAGATTCCGCCACTGTCGTCGGACGAAGATCTGCCGCCGCCTCCCCCGCCGCCCACGCCCGCGACCACTGCGCCCCCCGCGGCTTCCTTCCCTGCGCCCTCGCTGCCCTCCCGCCGCTCGTCTTTGTCTGACGCAATGGGAAGAGCATCCGCGGCAGCGGCAAGTGCGGGGAGGAGGGACGTAGCCATGGGAACGGGGAGGGACACGGGAGGGATCACGGCAACGACTAATAGCGGTTTCGTCATGCCGGCAGCAGTATCTGCGGCAGCAGCGGCAGAAACAGGAACGGCATTGGATATGAACCACCCGCCTCCGCCGCCGCCCCCCACGCCAGCGGCACAAGCAAGGCGATCGTTCACCACCACCCGAGGGTTCGCCGTGCCTGACCCTCGTGTTGTCGCTGGTGCCAGTTCCGCTGCTGCGGGCCGTGGTGATTGGCCAATCACATCTGCTGCCGCGGCGCCGTCCAGCTCTCGTGTTGTCACACCCGCCGCTGTCACTGCCGCCGTGGCAGCCTCGGCTCGAGACACGTGGTTCCTCCCTTCCGCTGCCGCTGCGGCTGCAGCTGCCGCCACGGCCGCTGCGGCGGCGGCAGCAGCGTCAGCAGCTGCTGGCCCTGGCGCAGCGGCAGCGGAGGAAGACGAGGCGGGGATGGCGAGAGTGGTGGGGTTTTCCGGTAGGTCCAGCGGTAGCTTTCGGTTGGACAGATCCTCAAGTCGTGAGAGTGGCGGGGCTGTTGCCGCCGGTCTAGCCGCACTGGTATCGGAGTCGTTAGGTGGTCGCCCGGAATTCGACTCGATGGGAGTGGGGTCGCACGTGTTCGCGCAACTAAATGAGGAGGAGGATGATTTGGAGAAAGCGGAAGGGGAAGCAGGGGCAGACGCGGCGGAGGATGGAACGCAGGCGGCGGGGGCGGAGGATGACGGGTATGAGGAGGCGGAGGAGGATGAGGTGCGGGGGAAGGAGCTGAAGGTCTGTTTCCCGACGTCAGCGCCTAAGATCTCGTTCGGGCTCGGGTGGAACTTCTGCCGCCTCAACACGCGCGGCGGCACCGTGTCGCGCAGCAGCAAGGCGGACGCAGCGGCGGCTGCGGGCGGCGTAGTGGCGGGCAGTCTGGGCAGCAGCATGGGGAGCTACTTCTCCCGCACGGGCAGTAGCCCCTGCTTCCCCTTCCTCCACACGTCCTCCCCCACCACTCTCCCGCCGCTCCCCTCCATTTATACCTCCTCACACTCGCTAAAGTCCGCCGCAGCCGCCGTCGTCGCCGCCGGAAGGGCCGCGTCAGCGCCGTCGCTTGCGTCTGCCGCAGCTACCGCATCCCCTGCGGGTGCGTCTCACGTTCCTTCCTCGTCTGCCTTGGGTGGGTTTCCTTCCGCCGCGAGCGTTGGGGTTCTGGCTTCCAGCCTGCCGTCCAGGTTCAGCTCTGGGTTCCCAAACCCACCTGCGGCAGCCGCGGCCGTGCCGGGAAATAACGCAGCGCGTGTCGATCCCGTGGCGGCGACACAGGCGGTTCCGTCGCAGTCTGCCCTGCCGTGTGCCCCGCCGTTCCTTCCGCGTGCGAGCGTGCATCTGAGCAAGGAGGTGCGGGGTGCGGAGCAGCAGTGGCAGGCCGAGGCCGACGGCCTTGTATGGGGCCGCAGCAAGCTGAGCAGGGTGGCGGAGGCGGAGGCGGCAGCGAGCGATGCTTCAGACTCGGCTGTAGCGGGAGAGGCAACGGACTTGCTGCTGGAGGAGAAGGAAGAAGTCATCGCAGTGTCAATAGCTGTAGCAGAAACAGCGAAAGCGACGGTGGTGGATGAGTTAGAAGCAGAGATCGCCGCACCTGCGCAAGCAGCGGTTGAACCAGAGTGTGCGCCTGAAGCAGAATGCGCGTCTGAAGCAGCTACGATCGTCGTGCCTGAAGAGTCATGCACTGTTACTCAGACTGTGCCCTTGGACTTGGCTGCAGAGCAGCAGTTCGTCTCCACTCTATCCGCGTTAGAAGACGTCTGGCTTGCGGAGAACGTGTCTCTCGGCCTTGCGTGGCCTCGCAGCCTCGTGTCTCCCGCCCCACCCACTGACGGCCTCGCCTCGCCCGCGTCTGCCGCCTGCGTTGCGCCCACCGCCGCGGTGCCCCCCCCAGTGCTGCATCTCGTGGGCGCAGTGCAGGACGGGTTGCGCGCGGGCGCGCAGCCCGTGCGCGCGTCGGGGGGGCTGGGCGGCGCGTACATCTTTCGCGACGCGGCGCAGCGCAACGTGGCGATCGTGAAACCCACGGACGAGGAGCCGCTCGCGCCCAACAACCCCAACGGATACGTGGGACGCGCGCTGGGGCAGCCGGGGCTGAAGCGCAGCATCCGCGTGGGGGAGGCGGGGCTGCGCGAGGTCGCGGCGTTCCTGCTGGACCACGAGGGGTTCGCGGGGGTGCCCGCGACGGCGCTCGTGCTCGCCACGCACCCCGCGTTTCACGTGAATGTTGCGCCCGCGGGGCCTACGATGACGCCGCGCGTGTCGGGGAATGCGGGCGGGCTGTCCAGTGCGTTCTCGTTCGGCGTTGGCGCGAGTGGCGCCGCGGCGTCTGCTGCAGCTGCCGCTGTGGCGGGTGGGCGGGGCGGTGGAGGGGATTGGGGGGATGGCGGAAGCGGCGGAAACGGGGGCCGTCGATTGTGCTCGTTGCAGCGGTTTGAGCCACACGATTTCGATGCTAGCGAGCATGGGACGTCCCGGTTCCCAGTGGCTGCTGTTCACCGTATAGGCATCCTCGATATCCGCATGTTCAACACGGATCGACACTCTGGTGCGTGCTCGCCGCGTGCCTCTCCTCCCCATGCGAAGACTGTGCGGGTTCCCCCTACCTCTTGCTACTGACTTTGCGTTTGCATAAACCCCTCGTCTTCAACTGCCTCTCCTCCCGATGCTGCATATCCCTTCTCACAACCATCCCCCTGCCGCTCTCCTTTCCCGCTCCCACCCTCGCCCCACAACCTTTTCCCAAACCTCTCACACCTCTCACCCCTCACACCCTCACGCCCCCATCCCCCGAACCTCACATCACCTTCCCGCTTCCCCCTTTCCCCGTCCTCGTCCCCGTGCCCCCTTCCCCCGTCCACTGTTCCCCCCGTTCCCCCCCGGCAGGCAACATCTTGGTGCGGCAGTTGAGCGTGGAGGAGCGGGAGTGGCGGCAGAGCGACCCGCAGCTGCGGGTGGACGAGGCGGTGCACCTGGTGCCCATCGACCACGGCTTCTGCCTGCCCGAATCCCTCGAACCCGCCTACTTCGAATGGCTGCACTGGCCGCAGGTGCATGCAAGCGGGGGGGGCTGGGGAGAGGGGAGAGGGCAGGGGGAAGGGAAAGGGGAAGGGAAAGGGGAGGGGGAGGGGGGATGGGGGGACGGGGTGCGTGGGATGGGTTTGGGAGGGGAGGGCTTTGGGGTTTTGCTGTTTGAGGGGTGGTGCGGATCGCACCCCTTGTGCTCTCGTCACTACCCGCTCGCCACACCGTGTGTCTTTTGCTGCCTACGGAACCACCATATCTCTGCCTGCATCGCCCCGTCGTGTGCTGGTACAGCATGCTTCCATTGTAACGCTTTCTTACCCTTTCTATAACCGACTCTCCCCTCTCCCTTCCCCTTCTTCTCTGCCTTTCCCGTTCCCCCTCGCTCCCTTTCCCCCTTCCAACCCCCCCCCTTCCGTTCCTCTCTCGCCCCCTCCCCTCCTCCCCACACCCCCTTCTTTCCCCTCGCCACCATTTCCCCCCTGCCCCTTTCCCCCCCTGTGTGCAGGCGTCGCTGCCCTTCTCCCCCGATGAGCTGGAGTACATAGCGGCGCTGGACGCGGAGCGGGACGTTTCCCTCCTGCGCGCGCACCTCCCGCTGCTGCGCGAGGGGTGCCTGCGCGTGCTCGTGATCGCCACCACGCTGCTGCAGCGCGCCGCCGCCGCGGGCATGACGCTCGCGGGGATAGGCGCCATGATGAGCCGCGAGGTGCGCGGACTGGAGGAGCAGCCGAGTGATCTGGAGCTGGTGTGCGCGGAGGCGCTGGGGGAGATGAAGCGCGTGCGCAGGGCGCTGGGGGAAGCGGAGGGGGAGGGGGAGGCGGAAGGGGAGGGGTGGTGTAGGGAGAGCGGGGCGATGGGGAACGGGGAAGGGGGAATTCAGGAAGAGGAGGGGGAGGGGGAGGATGAGGAGTTTTCGGAGAGTGAGGGAGAGGAGGGTATATTTGGGGTTGATGGGTTTGGGGAGGAGGATGGAGAGATAGGCGCTGTGTTGGAAGGAGAGGAAGGGGAGGAAGGGGAGTGGTCTGATGAGGACGATGAGGAGGGTGTGGAAGGGTTGGGATGCAGGGACGCGGGCAGTGAGACAGGCAGGGAGGCAGAGCGGGATGGTGGTGCAGGTGTTGAGGGAGAGGAGGAGGGGGCGGAGGAGGTAGGCAGCTATGTGATTCCTGAATCGCTGTTGTGGAAGAAAGGTGCGAGGTGGGGTGATACAGACTCAGAGGACGAAGATGAGGAGGAGGAGGAAAAGGAGGAGGAGGAGGAGGAGGAGGAGGAGGAGGAGGAGGAGGAGGAGGAGGAGGAGGAGGAGGAGGAGGAGGAGGAGGAGGAGGAGGAGGAGGAGGAGGAGGAGGGAGAGGACAAGGAAGCAGAGGGTGCAAGGGAGGGTCTTGAGGCAGGGTTTGCGGATGTCCACGTGGGCGTGGAAGCAGGGGGTTTTGTGGGTATAGATGACAGTGTGAGTGGTTACGAGCAGAGTGATTTAGTGACAGCGGGAGAGGAGCAGTTTGAGTTTGACGAGGAGGCTGAGGTAGTGAGTGCAGGGTATCAGCACCACGGGCAGCCAGACCTCAAGCACCAGCAGCAGCAGCAGCAGCAGCAGCAGCCTGGCCAATACCCCTTCACTACTTCCGCCTCTCGCTCTCCTAGTAGTGGCAGCTCGGAGAGCAACGACTGCGGAGACAACACCACGAGCAGCAGCAACGGCGCCGGTCTGGGCATGGGCATGCGAGAGCATGGCAGCGAGGCGGATGACTTCTTCCCAGTGGGACTGGGCTCTATGAGCTCGTCCCCTCCCTCCTCCCTTGCCTCCCCGCCCCTTCCTGTCCTTGCTCCTGCAGCCGCCACTGCACCGGACCTGGATCCTCCTCCTGCTGCTTCTCTGCTCGCTGCTCGCGACTGCTCGCATGCATCTGCCGTAGTGGTGCATGCTAGTGGGGGCAGTGAGCCGGCTGCTTTCCTGCCGGTGCTGTCATGCTCCCCCGTGCCTGCAACAGCCCAGCCTGTCCCTGTGCCCGTTGTGGCCCATCACTTCATTGCCAAATCCACCCGCCTAGGATCCTCCTATGCCCCTCCTCCCCGCCACCTGGCCCGTCCTCTCTTCCGCAAGCCAATGGCTGCACTGCCTCCCCGCATGCCTGCTCAACCCCCACACGGTGCAGCACTCGGTGTGCCTGCTGCTGCTCCTCTCCACACTGGTTTCAGTGGGGGCATGGGTGCACCTGGGGCAAGGAGCAGTGGCCTGGGTGGTGCTGCTGGCAGCAGCGGCGGCAGCGGATCGAACTTAAGAAGGGCAGTTGGTCGTTCCAACCTGGGCAGCAGCAGTGTTGGCGTCAGGGAAGAGGGAGGTGAGGATGTGAGAGGCGAAGGTACAGCAGGTGGTGGGGTTAACCCTGGGAGGCAGCAGAGGCACAGCTCGAAGCAGAGGCGCAGCAGCGGGCATTCCAAGGGCGGAAAGCAGCACGGTCGGCAGCAGCGGGGACAGGCACAGGGGGGAATGGCACGGGATCCGCGAGGGAGTGCGACGGGGGATGAGCTGAGTGCGCAGTTGATGGAGCTGGGAGAGTTGGGTGTGCGGTCATGGAATCTGTACATGGAGGTGCTGCTGGTGCTGCTCGATGATCTCATTCTCAGGAGGAGCGGAGAGTCTGTTTCCAACCGCCTGCACTTCGGAACTTCGTGCCAGTTTTAGAGGGTTTGGCTTCCGGCCATGGTGTCTGTGTGACTCTTGCATGGTTGTGTGCTGTTGGTGCCACCCATGTTTGCTTGTTGCATCTCCTATCCTGTCCTGTTCTTGTGTGCTGGCCAAACACTGCTTTGTACAGTTTGTCATGCTAAGCTTGTTGCTTGACTGGTCCATGCATGTGATGTTTGATGATTTGTGTAGGTGACACATTGTGGATAAATTTGAGTCTCCAGCCTCTTCTACAGTAATCCATTGCTTGTTCATTTACATGAGGTGTTGACTATCTTTCCTTTCAGAAAAGCCTATGCTTCTGGAAGTGATGAGGAAACATGATTGTTACCCTGTCGAAAGTGAATCTGCAAATGACAACTCGTGTATCGCGTTCCCAGCAACAAAGCACAGCTGGCCTCTATGCGACCTTGCCCCGCCACACTTGCGCAGGTTGCTCTGCGCGTTCCGTCTACCTGCGGTTCTCCCGCGGTTTGCGGCACCACGCCTTGAGCATATTCTATGGTTGCCCGAGCCATTAGCTCGTCCAATCAGGAAACGTTGCCTATCCACACACATTCCTCCTCAGAATTCTCGCACCATAATTTGTACCCACCACAGAATGCGTATCAGAAGATTTTCCCCACCCCGTGGGGTGCTGCTGTGGGTGGGAGACTTGAACCAGAAACCTGTCCTGAAGTCTCTCAAATGCCACCGGGCCAATATAGTTACCCCTATTTAGCATCACTTAAACGGGTATGTTTCCGATAACCTTAGAAGTCAACCTGATTGGACGAGTGCATCCCGTCTCGTGAACAGAACTCGTCGGCCATCATTTGACTTCTCTGAGTGCGTCTTGCCCTTCTCCTCCTCTACCCTGCTGCTCCCATCACCTCACCCCCCGCTCACCCCACCCCCCCCCCCCCCCACCTCCCTTCTCCCTGGCACCTCAAAGCCTCTTCCCGCACACCTTTCTCATTCCCCTCCCAAGACTTGGGTGGACAAATCAGAATCAACATAGGAGGAGCAGTGCGGCACTGCATTGCAACGGCGCTACAACAAGGCACATTCTATCGCTGCCTTCTTCCAAAGGTCCAATCCAATAGCCCTCAATTGTCTTCTCATTCCTTCTCCTGTCTCAGATCTGCAAACTACCGCTCCGCTTCTATCTGGCACCTGTCTCGTGTGCCGTTTAGCACGGATCGTTCATCAACGCCGCCTTCTCGCTATACCGGCCAGTGACGTGAGGTCTCAAACCACCAACGGTGACGTGCGACATTGTTTGCCGCTTCGAAACGAATTCCGCCGTCCCTCGGGTTCACAGGCGTGTCGGCTGGATTATTCGTCCCGTGCACTCACCGCTTTCTTCGTGCGGAGAACCCTCTACGCCGCGCCGCCATGGCCGAGGTCAGCATGCCCCGCAAAGTTCTACCGCATTTCCAACTTTATTTTCCAATTCCTGTTTTTTTTCGTCTTTATCTATTTTCTCGTGCGAAACATGCATCGCAATATGTCACGAGCGCAGTTTGCGCATCTCCGCATCTCTTATCAGTGTTCCCCTTGCTCTTTATCCCTGCGCCATTCCTTGTGCCTCCCCCCCTCCGCAGCACAACCCCTACGATTCCGGCAATCCCGACGGCCCGCCTCCCCCATACGGCGGTCACCCCTACGCTGCGCCCGGCTACGGCGCGCCTCCGTCCGGGTATGGTGCTCCGCCTCCGCCCGGCTATGGCGCTCCCTCTCCCGGCTACGGCGCCCCGCCGCCCGGGTACGGCGCGCCCCCGCCTGGTTACGGGGCGCCCCCCCCATCCGCCATAGTGCCCGCGGGGGCGTACTCCATGGGGTACCCGCCCGCCCCTCCCGGCCCCGATGGTGCTCCCCCCAAGGTGCGGACAGAGGATGGGCACGGAGATTGCGGGGACGGGAGGGAGGTTGGGGCGGAGGAGAGGGGAGAGGCAGGAAGGGGTAGCGCGAGAGGCAAAGTCATGGTTTTGGAAAATTATGATTCATATCTGCATACGTCCGTGTGTGTGTGTGCGTGTTCGTGTGTGCATGTGTGTGTGCGTGTGTGTGTGCGTGCGTGCGTGCGTGCGTGCGTGCGTGCGCGAGCGTCTGTGTGTGCGTGCGTGCGACCATGTGCGACGGTGCGAGCAGGCGAGCGTGGCGGGCGACAAGTTCCTGTACGCGTCGTCCAAGTGGAACGACGTGTGGGCCGCCATTCTCTTCATCCGTACGTACCTCCATTGCGCCCGCATCACCACCTTCCCCCGCCGCCAACCCGCCTTTGTACACCTAGTAATTGTGACGTGCCGCCACCCACCATAGCGCCAACCTGCCATAGCGCCACCGCCATACGGAACAACATGGGCTTAATTCTCAAGCCTTGACCTTCTCGCACCCACCGCACCTGCCACTGCAAACCGCTGCCTTCCACCTCATTTTGATCCCGCTTTCCCGCCTCCCGCTCCTTCCTCACTTCCCCATCTCTCACCGCTCCCTTTCCCCGCTCTCCCCGTCCCTCTCCACCCGCCCTCCCTCTGCCCCCCTCCCCTTACCCCGTTTCGCTCCCCCTCCCCCCATCGCCCCTCTCGCCGCGGTGCAGTGCAATTCCTGGCGGTGCTGGTGTTCTCGGTGGTGCTGGGCGTGAAGGGCGTGTCGTCCTCCTCACAGCAGCCAGCGCCGGGGCAGACCGTCTACTCCTTCTCCGACTATGCACCGCAGTTCGCCGCTGCTGCTGCCACCGGGCTCATCTTTGCGCTCGTGTGGCTGCAGCTCATCAAACTCATGCCGCGGTACGCTGCCCTGCCATGCGCCCTGCTCTGCGCCCTGCTCCGCGCCCTGCTCTGCGCCCTGCTCTGCGCCCTGCTCCGCGCCCTGCTCTGCGCCCTGCTCTGCGCCCTGCTCCGCGCCCTGCTCTGCCCTGCTCTACGACGTGCTGAATACCACGCCATGCACCTGACTATCACTCCCATGCCTTGCCTTGCCTTACCACGCCGCGTCAGTATCAGTGTGATGTTCACACATCTGCAGCACATTGCGAGTCCAAGAGATTCGGGGATCCGGCACTCCCCATGCCTCTAAGCCATCCATCTCACGCTCACACCTCACCATCCCATCCCATCCTGCTCCCCCTCCCCCCCACCCCTCACCCCCAACCCACCCCTCCCCGCCTGCCCGTTCCTCCCCTCCCCGTGTCCTGTATCCCGCCCCGCCGCTCATCCCCCTGGGCTGTGTGCGCTGCACTGCAGCATGATGGTGCACATATCGCTGTGGTTTGGGTTTGTGGCGCCGGTGGCGGTGGCGATCGTGGTGTTCGTGTACGGCACGGCGCCTGCGTGGGTAGGCGTCGTGCTGCTCCTCTCCTCGCTGCTGCAGCTGCTCTACATCTGGCTCGTGCGACACAGGTGTGCTGCACGCGTACATGCACGCATGCACGCACACATGCACTCGCACACCCACGCACTCACACACACTCAACACACCCACGCACACACGGGTGCACGCAGCGCTTGCACTGCGTTGCTCCCGTTGCTCTTTCTGCTCCTCTCTCTCAGTCACTCCATAACTCCCGCACATGCATGTTCCTTGGCGCACTCACACACACTCGCCAGCTCTCGCTGCCCCTCCAAATCAGCAGCACATCTGTTTGCTCATGCTGCCCAGGCAGGCCTAACCCATGTGTGACCGCCATGGTGCCTCCCTCCTCCTCCCCTTGCTGCGTGCAGGATCCCGTTTTCAGCGACGATTCTGAAGCACGCGGTGCACGTGGTGAACACGTTCCCGTCGGTCATCTGGGTGGCGTACCTCTTCCTCCTCCTCAGCCTCGTCTGGACTGTCATCTGGGTCGTCGGCGTCTCAGGCGCCATGTCGCTGGTGAGAGGCAGGCATGGCGCTGGTGAGGCATGTCGCTGGTGAGGCATGTCGCTGGGTATGCCTCCATTGCGTCATCTGCTCTGCTTCCCCTTTCCACATCATGTCACCTTCGCACCGTATCGCACCTACCAACCCTCTCACTGCTGCTGCTTTCCCATCCCCTCCCCCACCCCGTGCGCTGTGCTGTGCTGTGGTGTGTGTGTGTGTGTGGCTGGGCGGCAGACGAACGCGTTTGCGGTGCTCATCATCCTCGTGCTCAGCAACTACTGGACCATGGAGGTACGTACGCCGCCCCTCTCCTCCTTGCCACGCCATGCACTGCCCTCTTAACTCTGCATTTCTCACCCTGCCCTCGTCACTCTCTTCACTCTGTCCTCTCGACGCTACTGCCAGCGCTACCTGGCATGCACTCTTCCCCACCTTCTCACCCTCTCACCAATCTCCCCCCTCTCCCCTTTCTCACCACTCTCCCTCCCTTCCCGCCCCTTCCCCATCCCCCATGACCCTTGTACCCTCACCATTCAATTCCGTTCCCCTGTACTCATCATCTCGTGTCCCTTCTCTCCTCAATGCCGCTCCACCTTTCCCCTCTCTCTCCCCTCTACCCCTGCTCACCCCACCCTCCGCCTCCTCCCTCCCTCCTCTTCCCCCTCTCACCCCACCTCCCCTCCTCGCAGGTGTTCCGCAACGTGGTGCACACGACAGTGGCGGGCACCACGGCCACCTACTACTTTCTGCGCCACAACATGCCGCCCAACCCCACCGGCCTCGCGCTGCACCGCGCCGCCACCAAGAGCTTCGGCTCCATCTGCTTCGGCTCGCTGCTCGTTGCGCTCATCCAAACCCTCCGCTTCATTGTCCGTGCTGGGAAGAATGGGGGATGGGGACACTGGAAGGGGAGGGAAAGAAGAGGGGAAAGGGGGCCGTTTTGTGTTTGTGGCTGGGTGGGATGGGGTTGAAAGTGGGGTCCCGGGGAGGGAGATGTTTGGAAGGCAGGTTTCAGGAAGGCAGAGTTGGCAGCAGTTGGAATATTTATAGAGGTACATGTTTTCAGATCGTAAGTCTTCTTGTGCACTCTCTGACCTTTTTGCTTCCACCTTTCCCCTCTCCCACGCCTGTTCACCCAGGTGGCGGCGCTAGCGAACAACGACGACGGGGGCAACTTCATAGCTTGCTGTGCGCAGTGCATCCTGGCGTGCATTGAGGCCATCGTTGAGTTCTTCAACAAATACGCCTACATCCAGGTGCATGCACACACAATGGACGTACACAGTATTCACATGATCCCCATGTCTGCTGAATCACTGACTTGTGCATTTATGGATGCCTTTTCCGCGCCATTATTTCCCCCTGAATCCCCCACTTCCTTGCATCTCCATCACTTCTTCCTTCCCACAATCCTGCTTTGATTCCACTACTCTTTCCTCACAAACCTCACCGTACTCCATCTCTCCTTCCCAACCCATCCCACACGCCCCCTCCTCTCTCTATCCCCTCTTCCTCTCCCCGCCCCATCCCCCTCTCCACCCACCCCTCTCTCTCCCAATGCAGATAGCGATGTACGGCAAGACGTTCATCCGCGCGTCCAAGGACACGTGGGAGCTGTTCAAGGCGCGCGGGGTGGACGTGCTGATCAACGACGACCTGTCGGGGGGCGTGCTGGGGCTGGGCATGTTCATCGGGGGCGTGGTGGCGGCGCTCGTGGGCGGGCTGCTGTCGCTCAACAAGGCTGTCGAGCTGCTCGCGGCTGTTTCCATCGTCAGCTTCATCATCGGCCTCGTCCTGGTAGGTTCTCCTTCCCATTGTGTTGTGCGCGCTGCACAAGACCACTGACCTGCTGGCGGCTGTGTCCGTTGTCAGCTTCATCATCGGCCTCGTCCTTGTGGGTTCTCCTTCCCGTTGTGTTGTGCATGCTGCACTGGTGGCGTGGCTTGGGACTCGCAGGCTGGGAGAATTTGTGAAGGGGTGGGAAGAGGGGGCAAGGGGGGGAAGGTGGGGTGGAGGGGGTGGATGGGTGAGTGGGATGGCTCGTGTGTGCATGTGATGGGTTGGGCTGGTGGGTGGTTCTGGGTTACGGGTGTGGGTGCGTGGTGGGATACAGTGCCGCTGCGTGATCATTGGTGTTTGTTTGAGTGGGGCTGCTTGTGAGGCTGTGTGTGGGGTTGATAGGGGGATCGCTGGCCGTGCTCTTGCTTGCAGTGCATCGGACGAGGCAGATTGCTGGCTATCTTGCTCATTGCTGGATACTCGTGCTTACGTGCCCCGTTCCACTCGCCTCCTCACTCATATACAGCGTTTCTAAAAAAATGACGTATCATGTGTGCATGTGGTGTGCGTGTGTGCTGGCAGACGGGCATGACGTTGACGGTGGTGGACAGTGCAGTGGGCACGTTCTACGTGTGCTACGCGGAGGACCCCGCCACGCTGCAGCAGAACGACCCCGTGCTCTACAACAAGGTGCAGGAGCGCGACAGGGAGATCCGCGACCGCCGCACCCGCCACGAGGCCCAGGCCGCCGCTCGGCAGGCTTCCAGGTGAACGGGATGCTAAGCTCGGGCGTCGAGGTGTGTTTGGCATGGTTGGGGATGGAGCTTGGAAGATAAGATGGGCTTTGGAGGGGCAGGGTGGTGAAGGCCAGTGTATGCATTGACGTGAAGACAGATTTCCTGACATAAGCTAGGGAATTGTGCACCGTTCTTCTTGTGACCTCATTTCAAATTCTTCGATCGCGTGAAACTGTGATAATGGGATGGGATGACTAAGGTGAAACGGGTGTATGTTAATTTGATGAAAACTTGGCATGTAACTTGTAAACCCTCAGAATTCAACAGAGCAAAACACAGTGTGGGAGTTCATTTGGATTGGCAACAAAACACCGCCACAAATAACTTCTCTCACCAATTGAGGCAGGTACCCTCAGCAATCGATCACTACATGCACATCATCACCAGCATCCCACTTGCAATACGAATGTGTGAGAAATCCAGCCAGACGGCAGTGGGAAGCGAGTGCCTGCTATGATCTGTTTGTGATCACCAAGTCAGCATGGGTCAGCTGGAGGCAGCAGGAGTTTCCACAGCGACTTTCCTGAACGAGAGATGCGAGCGACACCATTACACACCTGCACTGCAAGGGAAGAGAAGTGGGAGGAGGGTAATATGAAAGCAGCACAAAGCGATGGGTTGTGATGTGAGAACATGGAGAGGAAAGGCGAGCGGAGAAGGATGGGAAGGCAATGCAGGGAATACACTGGAGATGGCTACAGGGTGTGAGAAAACATACGGTAAGTAAATTGTGAGAAGAATGGGGTAGCCGTTTGTGCGTGAGCGAGGGTATGAGAGTGTATATGAGACGGTGTGTGTGAAGGTGAGTTTGACTGAACTCTCACATCATATCTCAGCAGCGAGTGGGAGTAGGGCCACGAGGCGGAAGACCACAGCAGCCCATCCCGTGCAGACACCTCGCATCTCAGACGACCTTGTCCATCAAATCACATCACATTGCATCGCATCACAACACATCTTGCATGGCACAGTGCCTCACCAGGCGAAAGACCGAGCGATAATTCATCGGAGATTGGAATCACTGCGGCACCTCCCTAGGTACGTCCTTCCCGCCCCCCTAACTGCTGCGGTGCTTGACACGTGGCATGCCGCCATGATGGCGAGCATGCCCAGTCAGCGGTATCGTCGTCAAGACAGGTGTAGAAACTGCAAGTGAGAGGGAGCGGGAGCGGGAGGGAGGGAGGGGGAGGGAAGAGGAGAGTGAGGAAGCATACGAGGGAGCGGGACGGACAGAAGGACTCCAAGCAGCAGCGCAGCGGAGAGCAGGGGCGGAACGGCGTGTGGGTGAGGTGGGAGTGAGTGAGCGAGTGCAGCGTGTGGTGGGGATGCCATGCCTCTTGCTCTGCAACTGCAAACGCCACTTGCAGGGGCCGCATGCATATGGGTAAGCGGAGAGGGTGGAGAGGGGATGATGCGGAAAGTGGGGAGAGAGGGGGGGTGGGTAGTGCAGAGCGTTGTTGGGGTAGAAAAGAGGTCGGGAGTGGGGGAGGGAAGATGGGCGGAGGGAGATGGGGAGAGGAGATGCGGTAAGTGCAAATGGGGAGAAGTGCGGCAAGGTCAATCATCTCCTCTCTCATCGAACGGTCCTTTCATTGATGTAGAAAATGAGGTACAGACCTTCCCTCTCCCCAGCCCCTCATCCACCACACCTGTTGGGCACCATGGGTGGGACGAGCCGGCTTTGGGAATGCTGCCGCCCACCACCCCCGTCGGTGCGAAAAAGCGACCGCATTTTTGCCACCACACCTGTTGGCGGCTGCCTTGCGCGCCGCCCCCCCCTTAGTGCATCTCACCTGGCGACCGCACCTCGTCCGTCGCGGCGGAGGGCAGCGCCACGCACACCTCCGCGCACACTCCCGCGCACACCTCCGCGCACACCTCCGCGCGGATGAACCAGGCAGCACGCGAGCATGCCGCTCGCCCCTCGTCCGTGGCAGCGGAGGGCCGCGCCGCCAACCACCGTCGCCGCCTTTTGCGCCGCCTGAAACACGCGCGGATCTCCGCCGGGACTGACGAGGCGCGCGCTCCGGTCGTCCCTCGAACGCGCCTCGTCCGTCATTTCGCGCGGAATGAGAGCGCGAAAAATGGTGCGTGAAGCTGATAGGATCGCGGCGCATTTAGTCAATCGTGGCTCGTGTTCTTACTCCTAGATTCTTTCCGAAGGGCACCTCCCACTCCGCTGCTCGCGCATCCACCCTCTCGCGGGGGCTACTGAAGCAGCGGCGTCACCTCCCTCTACTTCGCGGCCTTCGCTCCTGTATGCGCGCGGAGCGCGCGAGAGCACGTGTGCGCGCAGCCTTCACGCCTTGATGAGACATGATTGCTTCCTCATGCCTTCAGCCTCCTCTCCTTCCTCTCATGCCTTCGGATTGCACGGAACAGTTCTGTACCGCTCTGACAAATTAGAATGAACTTTTGTGAAGTTTTGTTTTGTTTTCATTGGCGAAACGGAGCAATCGTTCTGTAATCGAAACTATACACGCTACCACCCACTTGTATCGAGTACTCGGTTTCCCTCCCATCGGTTTTACCATGCTGTGCCACATCCACAAGCCTTGGAATTAGTATGCTTAAAACCGGGGTGCACATTCAGCTGAATGTGCATCAAAGGTTATCCCTTGACTGAGTGGGTTACGAGGTGTGCTTTCAACCCCTTCGAGTCGAAATTCGTTTCCCCCCTCCCCCGCAATTTCGTTTCCCCACGCCCCCGCAATTTCATTTCCCCCTCCCCGTCGAAATTCGTTTCCCCCCTCCCCCGCAATTTTGTTTCCCCCCTCCCCCGCAATTTCGTTTCCCCCCCCTCCCGCCAATCTGTTTCATCCCTCCCGCCATTCGGTTTCACCCACACTTGCCATTTCACCCCCTCCCGCCACCTACGAAATGCCCGAAGCTCTAGCGGAATCATTTTTTTGTCGCCCCTCGTGAGCCAATCACTGTTTTTCTCCAAACCCCCTTCCCAACATCTCAAGCCGAACCGCGTTGAATGTGCACCCTGGTTTTAACACCCCAGCTCGCCAGCTCAACCCGCGCTTCGCACTCAAGATTAGCTTTCTCTGGATTCGCCGAGCTTCGCTCTCTGGATTATCTTTCTCTGGATTCGCCTTCATTCAGGATGTCGACATTCCTTGGAGTTAGTGCGATTCGACATGATTCACACCAACACCGAAGCCCAAAAGATTCCCCCTCGTAGTGCCTTAGAACCCAGATTATCCTGGGTTGAAAACGGCTCGTTTGGGTGGATATGTGTTCAGCTTGAATTCAGTTCGGTGGTAGGTCGACAATCAATCGAGACGGTGGTAGATCGATTGTGGCAACCAATCGAGACTTACTGTGGTCGAAGCAGCAGCAGCGTTGTCTTAGCGGAGTGACGTCGCTGACTGCTTGATATCCGCTTTTAGTGGAAAGCCGTCCTGCTATCCATCTCAGCTGGAACGCCATCTGAATTCGCATCGTCCTGCTATCCATCGCAACTGACGTACGAAACCTCCGAAAAAACAAATCTACGCGAATTCCTAAAGGTAAGCCGACGAATTCGTTGCTGCTGGTACATCTGCTGCTGCTACAGCATTCCCCCTGCGAGTGGATGGCTCCTCCTCCTCCTCTTCCCGTTCCCCTTCTCCTAAGTATGGAACGATGTCTTGCCGTTCCCCTTCTTGCGCGTTTCTCACCTCCTACCCTGCTCCCTGCCCTGCTCTTCTGCTCCCCTCCAGCGTCCACCTCCAACGCTCCTGCCAGCGGGTCCAGTGGATCGGCAGCAGGGGCCAGTGGATCGGCAGCAGGGGCCAGTGGATCTGCAGCAGGGGCCAGTGGATCTGCAGCAGGGGCCAGTGGATCTGCAGCAGGGGCCATTGGATCTGCAGCAGGGGGAAAACGGTTGGCGCAGAAAGGGACGAAGCCGCCCAAGCCAGCCAAAGGTACACACTCACACAAACGCACACACTCAGTACACACTTGCACACACTTGCACACACTTGCACTCACTCGCACTCTCTCGCACTCGCTGCGCTCGCACCCACGTGCTTGCGTATACTCGATCACTCGCACCCACTCGCATCACTCATACACTCGCACGCGCATACACTTGCAGACATTCACTAATCCTTAGCTCACTCACACTCACATTCCCTGCTGCTAATCTCCCTGTCACTGCGTTCCCTCCCGTCTACTCTCTAATAGCTATCAGGTGTTCTCCACAGCGGCGGACGGGCAGACGCATGCCACACCACTCCATGCCACCCATCCTCACCTCCCCTCTTTCTCCTCCGTTTTTCACCCCGCTTTCGCCCCGATTTCTCCCTGCTCTCCCCTCCTCCCCCTCCTCCCCTCTCCTCCTCTCTCTCCTCCTCCAAGAATTCGGACTTTTTCAGGTAGCGGCGGACGGGCAGACGAGGTGGGCATGAAGGTGGTGCAGGGCGAGAGGGAGATGGCGGCTGGCAACAAGCTGCTGGGGCAGTTCGACCTCGTCGGCATCCCCCCCGCGCTCAGAGGCATGCCGTGCCGTGTGTCAGAATCCACAAGAGTGATTGAACTAGGAAAGAGTTGGGTACAAGTAGGAAACCCTAAACTTACTGTACCCCATAGTAACTACCCCACTACAGCCTAAACAAACTGTAGCAGATATGACATTTGACACACCCCGATAGGCAAAGTGGGGGAGAGCAAGAGGTCACAAGACCAGTCAAGAAAGGCAAATCAAGCTCAGGGTGGATCACAAAGTCACCACACTCATTGAGCACAAGCAAAGGGCCACAAGGCCAGTTCACATGCAGAGGCATATATGCAACACAAACATCACAGTGATCTCTACCTAGCAAAGCAAGCATGCAGGTATATATATATACATCACAGTACAAGCAAAGCCTACAGCAAGTGAAAAAAAGTGGGCACAAGCCCTAGCATAGTGCAAAAATGCTGATGATCACCAGACTGAAGTGCCTTGGTAAAGATATATATCAGCAGTGTTGGACCGAGTGGCCACGTAACGCAGACGAAGCTGACCACGCTGCTGCAACTCTCGAGCCAGGAAGTACCGCAGAGCGATGTGCTTCGTTCTGTGCTCCAGTCTGTGCTCCTCACACAAGGCAATGGCAGCCTTGTTGTCGACGTACAGCACTGGAGGAGAACGAGGCCGCTCTCCCAAGTCGGTCAGCAGGTAGGTGAGCCAGCGTAACTCCTGTGCAGCCGTGGCTGTGGCGTAGATCTCAGCCTCACAACTGGAGCTGAGAACTGAAGACGAGCGTGTAGAACGCCAAGAAACTGAACCAGAGCCAAGGCTGAAGGTGTAACCCTGTGACGACCGCTGAGTAGCCTGGTCGTCAACCCAAGAAGCGTCTGACTGTCCAGTGAGAACAACTGAGCTCCTCCCTTCAAGCTCGAGCCCCATGCCCGATGTACTGCACAAGTAGCGCAGTACCCTCTTAGCAGCATCCATGTGCACCTTTCGGTGCCGACCAGGAGCCACGTAGCGAGCCAGAAGGCCAAGAGGGTACGCGAGGTCAGTACGAGTGCAAGTCATCAGGTACATGAGACAGCCAACTAGCTCTGGGTAAGGACCACTCGGCTCTACGGACTCGTCCGAAGGTGGAGCTGAGAGCGAGTGACCTGTAGCCAGAGGAGTGGCCTGTGCCGAGGACCAGGTGAAGCCGAAGCGCTGAAGGACCTGCTGCACCATGTGTGACTGAGTCAGTGTGATGGTGCGGCGTGCTCTGTCCCGGGTGATCTGCAAGCCAAGGTAGCTGCGCAGTTCACCCAGGTCTGTGCACGTGTGTCTCTTCTGCAGCTCCGACTTCACCAGGGCGAGAGCCTCAGTGTTAGCAGTGGCAAAGACCAAGTCGTCGACATACACGAGGATGTAGAACGGCGGCAGCGAAGTGTCGATGCGCAGAAACAGCGACGGGTCAGCAGTAGAAGGCGCGAACCCAAGAGCCGCAAATGTAGTCCTCAGTGTGTCGTGCCACTCACGTGGCGCCTGGCGGAGACCGTAGACCGGCCGCCGGAGGCTCCACTGGGTACCAGGAGGGAACGACCCAGTGAAGCCAGGAGGGCGGCGCAGCCAGATCTCCTCGTGCAGGCTGCCCTGCAAGAAAGCTGTGCTGAAGTCAAGAGAGTGAAGCTCGTAGTCACGCTGAGCGGCAACGTGCAGTAGCACCAGAAGAGTGGTCATCTTCGGGGTGGGGGAGAAGGTCTGGAAGAAGTCTACTCCCTCTCGCTGACTGAAGCCTCGAGCAACGTAACGAGCCTTGAAGACAGGCGGAGAACCTGGCGGCCGCTTCACCCTGAAAATCCACATGCCACTGACGATGTTCGCCCCAGGAGGGGGAACTTCGTCGACGTAAGTGCCAGTGGACTTCCAGGATGCCATCTCTGCGTCCATGGCTGACTGCCACTGAGAGGAATACTCACCCGCGATCGCCTCAGCGTAAGAGTGCGGGGTCGGGATGTTTGGTGCATCCGGGTCTCCCTCAGGTGCAATCAGCATGGACACGAGATGAGGTACAGCGGCGGCAAAGCACTCAAACTCCTCCTGCCTGTCCTCAAGGACGTCCGTGCCAAGAGCACACTCACCCTCGACGGACGGAGGACAGACAGACTCAGACTCAGGCTCAGCAACAAGACTCGCAGCGTAGTCTAGACGATAGTGAGCAGCAAAGTTGACAAGCTCAGCAACTAAGGTAGACGCAGCAGCTGACTCAAAAGAAGGGTCAGTGACAGCAGTGGCCAGGAGACGCGTGACAGTAGGACTAGCAGCACGAAGAGAGTCAGACTCCGGGTCAGCAAGAGCAGGAAGAGAGGACGCAGGAAAAGGCAGCGGGACACGCTGTAGAACAGTGGAAGGACGAAGCGCCATCTGGTGAGTGCCGGGGACAGCAGGAGGACGCTGACGCGGGACACGACGACCAGTACGAGCAGCACGAACATGTGACGCAGACCGAGACTCAGGCGACACAGGACGAGACTCAGGCTCACGACGCTCCGTAAGACCGCCTGTCGGACCAGTGTAAGGAGAAGGACCAGGGAGTGGCAAGGCAAGCGGTAGCTGTGACAGCGACTAGACAGGCGGAGGACACTCTAAGGAGGGAGCAGGACAAGGAAGAGGCGGCTGACCAAGAACCTGCTGAAGGAGGGGAACGAAGTACGGTCGTGGCCGTGACGTGCCCCCAGAACCAGCAGAGACAGCACCAGAACCTCCAGCAGCAGCTCCAACTCCCTCAGCACCACCAGCAGCTCCAGTGCCTCCAGCAGCACCAGTAGCACCTCCAGCAGGACCAGCACTAGCAGCACCCCCAGCAGCTCCAGTACCTCCAGCAGCACCAGCACCAGCCGCACCACCAGCCCCAGTACCAGTAGCACCACCAGGAGCTCCAGCAGCTCGAGTACCTCCAGCAGCACCAGCAGCACCTCCAGCAGGACTAGCTCCAGCAGGACTAGCTCCAGCAGCTCTAGTAGCACCCCCAGTCCCAGCAGCTCCAGTACCGCCAGTACGAGCACCTCCAGGACCAGTGGCTCCAGTACCTCCAGCGCCAACCCCAGGGTCAGCAACAACACCAACTCCAGTAGGCTTAGCGCCCTCAGCTCCAGCTCCAGTAGCACCTCCAGCTCCCACAGCACCACGACGGCGGCGACAGTACCGAGAGTACCACTCACGCAGCTGCTGGGAAGAGAGAACGCCCCCAGGCGTAGCACCCCCAGGCTCAGGACCTCCAGACTCAGCACCCCCAGGGATAGCACCCCCAGTCTCAGTACCCCCAGGCTCAGCACCCGCAGTCTCCGCACCCCCAGGCTCAGCACCCCCAGTCTCCGCACCCCCAGGCTCAGCACCCCCAGTCTCAGTACCCCCAGACCCAGCACCACCAGGCTCAGCACGCTCAGTACCTCGCGCAGGACCAGAGTCGACAGCTACCTCGACAGGCTCGACCGGGTCTACCTGGGAAACACCTGAGGGAGCAGGACCCTGGGGAGGCAGGGGGTCTACCGAAGCAGCACCTGGCGTGAGGAAGAGCGGCGGAGGGGGGAGCGGGGCAGTGCGGTAGGGGAAGAGACGGTAAAAGAGGACCGACTCGTCAAACGTGACGTCCTGAGAGGGGAAGACACGGCGCAAGGTGGGGTGGTAAAACTGCCAGCCAGGCGCGTCAGGGACAAAGCCCAGGAAGACACAAGGAACGGCATGGGAGGAGAGCTTGTCCGCGGACGTATCGCGGACAAAGGCACGAGATCCCCAGACACGGAACACAGACGCATCGCCAACCGCTCCCCTCCAACGCAGTGTCTGCGAGGTCTCCGGAACGGAGACACGGGGCCAGAGGTTGAGCTGATGCGCGGCGTACCGGACCGCAAACGGCCACAAAAAATGGGGGGCAGCCGCATGGATCAAAGAGGTACGAGCGACCTCCATGACCAAGCCAATGCGGCGCTCAGCAACCCCATTCTGCTGAGGAGAGGCCGGAAGCGTGAACGTCTGCTCAATGCCCTCCCGCTTGAGGCCGGAGCGGACAGAAGGCCTCCAAGACGAGTAGGACGGGAAGGTCCGTGCGAAAGCGCCTCTCCAGCTGGAGACGAGTAGCGCGGATCCAAGGGATTAAGACAGCAGGGACCTCTCCCTTGGTGCGCAAGGGGAAGACCGTGGTGTAACGCGTGTAGTCGTCAACTACCAGCAGGAAGTAGCGCTCCCCGCCCTGTCCACGAACGCGGGCTGGGCCCCACACGTCCATGTGAAGGGTCTGCAGAGGAGCCTCCGTCGGGGGGAACTCAGAGGAGTGAGGGGTGGCACGCTGCCGCCCCTCGACACAGGGAAGGCAGGGAGGGGCAGGGGACGGTGGCAGGGGAGGCAGTGACCTGGGGAGACCAGAGACAAGGAAGCGAGAGTGCATGCCACGAAGGCGCTGCAGCGAAGGGTGACCAAGGTGGTGGTGCCAGAGGACGTCTGGTGCGACAGGGTGCGACACGAGCAGGGGGCGGACAACTGACCTGACGCAGACGCAGACGCTGCTACCTGAGGGGACTCAGTGGTCAGTGTGTACAAGTCCGACCCCGGCTGCCGAGTGAAGGTAGCCAGGTGACGACCCGTCTGGGCACACGTGCAGTGTGTCACACGCTCGTAGGCAGGGGTGAACTGGTGAACACCCGCGTCCTGGGCGGAACCCGCCACCAAGTTCGTAGAGAACGAGGGGAGGTAAAGGCCCGACAGTGTGCCCGACGGGACAGCAGGACAAGGGAGGGCAGTGGTGGAGGTCGCAAGGACCGGACCCCCGGAGGGGTCAGCCAGGAGACAGCAACCGGCCTAGGGAGCTGCTCGAGGGCAGTACGGTCGCGAAAGAAACAGCGGGAAGCACCTGAGTCCAGTGTGAAGGTGTGCAGTGCCTCAATAGACGCAG